ATGTCTTCTAATAATCGCTAATTAGAGTTAATAACGTGCATGCCGGCCGCCTCGCCGTATCTCGCCGAGAACGATTCGCGTTCGCGCCACCACCAGTGCCTCCGGCCTCGTCTCGTTTCCGAGAATCGACAGCAATCTAATAACGATAATAATCGAAAGCGATCACTGGAGTTGCGGCGAAATTACGCGGTTGAACGAGAACAGAGAAACGAGAGAAAGAGAGAGAGAGAGAGAGAGAGAGAGAGAGAGAGAGAGAGAGAGGGGGGAGAGAGAGAGAGAGAGAGAGAGAGAGAGTGCCACATGCCGAATGCGAGGGAAAGAAATCATATTCGCGTATGACGCGGCGGCAATCTATAGGACCTTACAACGAATATTCGTGAGTTCGCGAATGAGCTTCTTCCCGAGCGATAATCGGCTAAATCGGCTTTATCTCACTTAATAACTAATAATGTCTGGTAAAAAAAAGAAACAAAAGTCGCTCGTTCGCCGTCTCTTCAGCAGAGTACGGTTATGGACGGCCGATTCTTTCGATCGTATCAACTATATTTTACGCTCCCTCTATAAAACGTGATCCGCCCGTTACACGTGGCGGATACGACGGGTTCGACTTTTTGTTCGCGCACCACGCCGATGATGCGCACGCACACACACACACACACACACACACACACGATTCTCGATCGGAACGTTGTTCGCTCAATTAATCAGAAAGCCGAACTTGTATATCGAGCGAAATTATCGCGAATTAATTACCGCGGAAAGTACGAAAGTAGATTCGCGATTTTCAACAATATCGACGACTATGTCGCTGAACATAAATTATTTGACTATCTCGCGTCAGCCACACTCTCTTGGAGTTTAATAATATAATAATAATAATATAAGATATAATAAGGTTTCCATCGCGAGTCCACATCCGTGCGCTGGCCCGCTGGATGGCAATTACAGCGTGGCTAGCATACTAGATGCAGAACCGACTCGATTGCGCAATTCGGAGGGAATGTGCCGCAGCGACTACGACGTGACGCTAATAGGAGACTAACCCGCTCCACGACAGCTGGGAGAAGGTGAAAAGAAGCACACACTTGAGAAGTCGTGCAGCAAACGGACGCAGCCGCCCGGGCCATCTCCACTTGCTGCTTTTTATAAACCTCGATAAATTTAGGGACGAACGGAGGAGGAAACGGGCGCTCGACAAAACGGTCTTTCCCGGTTAGGCTCGATCGATTTTCTAGCAATCAGATATCGAGATTTCTCTCGATCGAGCGACCCAGCAAATGACTAGCTCGCCGGTGCGGCGGGACACCGATACCTGTGTGCTTTCATCGAGTTACGTGGAAAGAGTAATTAATTCCCTTTAAAAAATCGACACACGGCCGATATGAGAGGAAATGGAAAACACACGCGTCTTGCGAGTTGCACTTATCCTTGTCGATTCAATCGTCGGTTAACGGGACGGACGGTCAAGGCGTTCAACAATCGAGCCTTTGCAGCTGCTCTTTGATCTCGTCGAAATTAACAAGCACGCTCTCCCTCGATCTAATGGATTTTTACCCTGTCTCAACGCGACTCACGATCGTGACGCGTTACTCGCCCCGGAGGGGTCCCGACAACGGCCTAAGGGCCATTGACTGGGGGGGGAGGCCTAAATCGTTGCGGCGCTAAGGAATGTGCCGAGATATTTCTCAACGTGAAGAGACCGAGAGGATACGAGGCAGGGAGGGTATCGCCGCGGCGCGGGAGGATGAAGAAGACGAGGAACGGGAACGGGAACGGGTTGGAAACGAACGAACGAACGCACGCACGCACACACACACACACACACACACACACACACAGGCATGCACGTATGCACGCATGCACGCATGCATACGTAGAAAAAGAAAATTCGAACAAAAGGTGGCGGGATGAGGCGACGGGGGTGGAAACGGAGGTACACAAATTGCAGCGGCGAAAAAAGCGCGCGCGCGCGCTCGCCGACTCGCTGTTCTCTTTTCTCCCTCGTTTCGCCGCCGCCGCCGCCGCCGCCGCCGCCGCCACCGCCGCCACCGTTCGGCGGAATCTCGAGGCGAAACTATTGTCTTTATGCGAGAGCGTCCTTAGAAATCTCTCGATTTCCCGAGGTCGCCCGGCGGCCATCGTCACATCGCTCTAGTTCGACCTAGTTTCGCGAACGGCAGGGTTCCATAAATCGCACTAATTAACGCGCCTCTTGAAAACACTCGCGCGCTCGAAAAGCCGTAGAATCACGCCCGGCGAATGAGGCTCTGCCGAGCCTAAAGACAATCCTCTCCGCCGGCTGCTCCTTTTCGTTTTTGCTCACGCTCTAAAAATACTGTTACGCGGGGCGTAGCTCCGTAGCTTTGTTTAACGGCGCCGTGAATTTCGCGAATATTGCGCGAATCGAGCGCGACGCGACGCGACGCGACGCGATATACTGAGAATTTAGATAGCTTGCATTTACACAGGACGACGATAGGCAGATCTCCGTCGTGAGCTTTCATCGAAACATTTTTATTAAAAAAGGAAAAAAAGAAAAAAAGAAAGAAAAAAGACTTGACGGTGCTCACTCTGTCTGAACGGATAGCACGAATCTAGCCTTAATGCGAACAGAATCATAGAATGATGAGAAAACTGGCGAAATCTTAGATGCGAGGTGTACCGAATTTCTTCCTCGCTTTGTCCTTTTTGCATATTCATTTTGATATCTGTTTCTGGTGTCATTCTTGGCATCTGTCCCTTCTTTGCTCGCGCGGCGTGCTCACGTCATGGTGATTAGCGTTATTAGCGTCGGTACGTTATCGTCATCGCGTCATCGGACTCGGAATCGTGTTCGTATTACCCGTGCACTTGGACAAGTCCCAACCTGCATCCGGCCAAATTCCTCTAGTGCCGAGTCCACTGCACGTCCTTGACCGCGGACAAAATTTCTGCCTCCGGCGATGGAGACCTGCGCGCGCGCGTTCGGCCCGGCAAGAATCGCGCAACGAATATTTTCGCATTAACGCTTGAACGTCTAACAAAACAGCGTCTCGTGCCTCATGCGCTCGTTCTTTATATTTATATGCATATTCATGAGTTCCCCTCCCCGTTCCCGTTCCCGTTCCCGTTCCCGTTCCCGTCGTTTATGCATTAAAATTCTCTTTACCGGGAAGAAAAAAGCCGTCTACAGGATAACGGCCAATCGGTGGCCGGTAAAGAGAGCCGCCGCTGTCGCTCTCGCGCGAACAATGGCAGCGAATGACATCGAGCGACGTTGTGTCAGCCAGAAAATCCGCCGTAATTACCTTTGTCGCGCGCGGACTTTGCCGCGGCTAATAAGGCTTTACATAAATTAAACGAAATTCGATTAACTTCTTATGGTTATCTCGCGATATCCCGATCTCATTCTTCCATGTCCGAAAGAAAATCATCAGTGTACTACTACTGTGGTACGTGTATGTATGTGTGTATGCATGCGATACTTATCCAAAGGAGAAAAATATTGCCGGACAGGATTTACCGTCGATCAGATATGATTACGTCAGTAGTCCTTCATTAAGACTCGAACGTGACGTCCCGAAAATACGAAACGATCGCTCTCGAAAAATGACACGTGGCCTTCAATCGCCCCGGCGATTGAACGGTTCCGGAGACGCGGTCTCGCTGCTGCACCGAAGACCCTTCGAGAATCCAGCAGAAAAAGGGCTCGGATCCGACAAAAGGGTTTCTAATGGACGTTGGGCATATCCCGCGGGAGGCCTTATAAGGCAAACCTCGAGAGCCGGCCTCTGCTTTCGATCCGCTGTAGCAGCAGGTAGACACCAACGAGAGAATCTCCGACGTGGCCGCGTAGAGAGGCGCCTGCTCGTTGCCGGATTTAGACCGAAAAAAAGTAAGGCATCGCGATGCCTTCGAAAAGATCGGAAAGAACGACAGCGAACGTGAGATCGAGAGGTGAATCGGACTTGTTGACGTTCTTAGAGATTAAGGCAGACCGATAAATCACCGATGCATTACCGAGCGATTTTAAAGAGCGATTCTTCGAATCTTGCAAAGATGCTTGGCTTTTGTGTTTGTTCTCGATTCTTTTTATCGACCTCTCTCTCTCTCTCTCTCTCTCAATTAATCCATACGCGGTAACTTTGTGAGCTGCTACAACAAATTCCGTCACAATGCTCCAAGTAAAATTTCTTTCACTATAGTTTTTGTAATCTTTTTTACATGTCCTATATTTAATTGTTATCTAAAGGGCTAACTCGATATTTATTTAAAAGTTAGAATTTTTTTAAGAATTTGAACAAGCGCTTTTTATGATTAAATATCAATCAGATACAATCAGGTGTTTCCGCATTCACGAGAGCGCACGCGCCCTTCGCGCGTTGGACAAGGTGATGAGCGTTGAACTTTCCAACAGCGTTACATGCGATTATAATCTCGGCAAAAACATTGAATCGCTAATTAATCGGCGCACGGAATGCGCGGGCGCCCCCCGATGCGCGTAACATTGCGTCCGCCCTGCGAGTGCAAGTCGTGCGCCGCCCGCGCCGCCCGCGCCGTCGTCGTGAAATATACAGTCGGACGCACATGCATACGAATACGACCGCCTGTGACCGCCGCAGACTGCATACATATGCAAACGGAATGACGCATTCGTATTCATGTATGTAGATTCAAGGGACGCGCCGAATCCTTTGAAGACCAATCGGCTGATCGGTCTTCAGGCTGCATTCAACGCATACGCGTTCTTATATCCTCGGCGCGGGTAACGAGCCGAGCACGTGGGCGTTTGCGTTACGCGACGTTTGCGTGATTTTCGCATAAAATATACAAACGCAATGGTCGACTGCGACACGCTAGGTTATCCGATGGACGTCCGTGAGAGAGAGAGAGAGAGAGAGAGAGAGAGAGAGAGAGAGAGAGAGAGAGAGAGAGAGAGAGAGAGAGATAAGAGAAATTCCACCTAAATTTCGGAAACACAGCCGTCTCATTCTTATCATTCTTATCAGACACCTTCTTACCATATGCAGCAGGTCCTTGATCAGCAACGGCCGAGCGGCGACCCTCGTGGACTTGCTTCTACGGACGGGCACTACCACGCTGACGTCTCTTCCCGTGCCCGATACTATCCGCGGCATAGTGTTCGACCTAACCAGCCGATACTCGTCCCCCGGGTGCCTTCGTTTCTTCTTGAACGTGCCGCACAACATGCTTCGCGGTGTCGTCCCGATTAAATTTGCCCGAAACTACGTCAGATCCCCGCCGGTGTCATCCAAGCGAGATTGAATACGTCGTCCCAAGTACCCGGCCAAGCTTTAGCGAAGAGAGCAACCGAGTCCCGAGTGCGGGCAAAGATTCGCTCAATCGTGCAAATTGCGAGCACCGACGCCTCTCGAATCGATCAGGAAATCTTTCACTCGCGAGAATCAACGTATCGGGGCGTAATCACTTCTTCGCGCGACTTTTGTAATTTTTATAATTTATGCGTGGCGTGACAAACAAGTTCGATGCCGCTTTCTAGCTAACGTGTTACCATCCGCCTTGTCTTCGGGGGAAGTTCTCCCAAGAGGATACCTCACCGCGAGAGAGTGATAATATCTTCTCTCGCGACGCTAGAAAAACGACGAGATGTTGGTCTCGAAAAAATGTCCTGCTGATGCGGCGATTACACCAGTTCCCGCGGTATCGCGATATTCTTTTCTCTCTCTCTCTCTCTCTCTCTCTCTCTCTCTCTCTCTCTCTCTCTCTCTCTCTCTCTCACGGTAGGAGTACGATGGCGCCGTCCGCAGATTCCTGCATCTATTTGACCCTTTGCGTTCCGACCGCACCCCCCTGCGGGCCCCGATTAATCGGCCGATCCCCCTTCGGCTCGATCGTCACGTTCACGATTCCGTTTCTCTCGGTTCTTCTGCCCGCTGCTCGGCTTTCGGCATCTCCCCGCGCGGACCGTTCTCTTCTCCTCTCCTCTTCTCTCCTCTCCTCTCCCGATCGGCGCTGCACCCACCCACGTACTAATTAACCGACCGACACGTGGTACGGCTCGTCGGGAATCGTCGAGGGAACGAGGTGATCGACCGGCTCGAGTAACCGGACTATCGATCCGTCGCGATCGGCTCCGGAGCGAGGTTGTCGACTCGCGCTCAGTCCCGATCGCACTGCACGAGGACTCGCCAGGGCACTTCCTTCCCCACCACACAACGGCGATTCCCTTCACTTCCTCTCGATAAGCTCCTTCGACGCTGTTTTATCTCGTGCGATTACTTTTCCCGCTAGATCCGCGGCAACTTGCCTTGTCCTCGAAGGCTCCGCAGAACGATGGTTAGAGAGAGAGAGAGAGAGAGAGGACGAGAGAATGCGATTGTCGTCCTAGTCGTCCTGCGCCTAAACGACAGGAATGTACCCCCGCGCGACACCTGATGTGTCCGGGCGCGCTTTTTCGGCTGCTCTCAATGTTCAATTAACGGAATCTCAGCCGGCTCGAGTCGCAGTGAGAGCCGAGAGTCGACTGAAGGCATAAGGCTCCGGTCGTGGGCTCGTCGAAGGAACCCCACCACGTTGATTTCAACAACACCCGGCACCCGGCCCGACCGGACGACCTGGTCGCGTGGCGCTCGACACAGATACGCAGTGTTTCTCAAAATCTTGTCGCGGTCCTCGAAACTAACGACGCTTCGCCTTCGTAACGTACACGTGATCATAGTACGCGCCTAGTAGGGCCTGTCCAGCCAGGTGATGGTTTTTTTTTTTTTGCTGCTGAAGGCATACGACGGCGGCACTTGCGCTATTCATTTGAGATAATTGGCCGGTAATTATGTTGGGAGGAATTATCAATTCATCACGGCCTCAGATAATTTCATGATAAATAGATTGCGTGAGAGACAACGATTTATTAATTCCGAGATTTCTGAAATTTCTCTCAAGACAGGGAGAGAAATCGCGTTTTAAACCTGTACGATCTTTTTCTTCAAAGTAACTTGGAAACAATTTTATTTGTGTTGAACACTTGAAAGAAAATATAATCGACAAATTGTGTTTGGAAGACGCACGTGTGTGTGTGTGTGTGTGTGTACATATGTGTATTATTTATAAAAACGATTTCACGAATATTGCATTTAAAAATTATTCACACGGCTTTTCCGTCCGTTTATATCTTTAAAGAAACTCCACGTTTGTCCGCATTCGAGGAAAATACACCGGTATTTTATTTCTCGCGAAGGATTTCTCGTTATATAAGATTCTCCAGAGAGAATCGCTTGCAAATAAGCGAGCGTTGAAGGACTCGTCACACACACGGGAATAAAAGCTCACGGACTAACTACTATCGGAACGACTCGCTTCAATTTCAACTCTCAAATTTCCGAATCGGAAGTCCCGTTTGAAATACCGAGGACCTTGGCTGACTGTGGTATAATAACGAGAAACAGGCCAGCTGAACGACGAACTCGATTCCTATCGGCGCATCTGCCCTCTTCGCTGCGAAGATGCAATTACACGTGACAAATGTAGCCTTGAAAGCTACGTATCAAATTAATGATAAATGAAACACAAAATATAGGTTGCTCAGGTAAAGCGCGCGCGTTCGTAACGGATGTAACAATTACAAAGCAAAATGCGCGGATATTATACGTATAATATCCGCGCGAGATAAAATATGCACGAGATATGCATAAAATGTCACGGTTATCCCGCCAGTAAATGTACATTTGCAGTTACAAATTTAAATAAAGATAAAAGATATTTAAACTTAACCTAAAATATATTCGTTTGAATTCACAACGTTCCGTCGTTTCAGAACCGATGTTTTAGTTCCATTCTTATTAAACTGTGGAGATTCCAGAATTCTGCCAATCTCATTATATACGCGATTATTTACAGAATGATTGATGTTATACACCAAAGTACAAGCGAAAAGAATATATATATATACATATATGAGAAAAAATCGCTGAGATCAGCTTGAGTGCGTTATATAATTGAAAATTGGCCAGGATGTTCGTTTTGTAACAGCCGCAAAAACCACTTTGCCGAAACGAGAAAAATCTGTCGGGCGGATCCTGAATTACCGAGGAGCAACCGCGAATTCAATGGCAAACACAAGTACACCTGTCTACTTACACAAATTCGCAGAAGTTCGCCCGTAATTCCACGTTCGGCGAAGCTCCTTTTCGCGCATACACGAATACGCGTTGCGGTTTGCCCGGTCTAAGTTGTTTCCCCTCGCGGCGAAGACGTGTCATTTTCTTGGTTTCTGCGTTTGATCACGAACTTCGCGAACGCTTCCTTCCTTCCTGCAGAATTCACGCGATAATCGACGTCTCGTCGAGGTCTCACCCTGCACGCAGCGCGTGCATGTAATAATAATAATTCGTGTACACGTTCAAAGGAAACGCGCGTTACGACGACGATGTCATCATCGTCGTCGTAATGCAAGTTTGCGAGAAACGTACGAAGTGATGTGAAAACTGCGAAACGACTGATTGATATTAGCATCGTGTCTGGCGTGAATGTGCAGATTTTCTCTTCACGATTGTCACCCCCATCCCATGAAGCAGATTGGCTTCAATTTCGTTAGTGCGTCGCGCACGAGCGAGCTAACGAAGCGCGCTTATTCAGAAATGACCCGTCGTTGGTCGGGTTGAGTACCTCGTTTATGATGACTAACAGAAAACTCAGGTGAGCGGTATGCATTTATATTAGAATCGATATAAGAGCGTATGCGCGATTGTACCGACTTATACTGCCACTTGGCCGGTCGATCCTCGTGTGCACGATAAAAGGGGTGTTTCACACGGCACCCTTCGCTCGCGAAAAGCGACGTATAATTTCGTGAATCATGCCAGACCCTGAAAGACGGCTAACCAAACACAGTCAATAAGTTAGCCCAAACTCTCGCAATCGATACTTGTTAAGCGAACTTTTCAGCGTGCTCGTCTCGCAGATGTTGAAACGGGCCGGCAATTGGAAGTCTCGAGAGATATGCTTCATATAATTTACAACATTTGCATAAATTGCCAATAATATCGTTTTAACGCTGTCGTATTACGGTAACGGTGTATCTCTGAGTGGATGAGACAAGAGACAGAGTGTCGGAACAAACGCGACAAATTTACGAATTAACGTAATTCTGTCGTCAAGAGAGAAAGAAAGAGAAGAAAAAGAGACTAATACATTCCGGGTTCATTTCCGGGTCTTAACATTTTGTCAACGTTAAATGTGTGTGTGTGTGTGTGTGTGTGTGTGTGTAAAAGAGAGAGAGAGAGAGAGAGGGAGAGGAGAGAGAGAGAGAGAACTTTTTATATTTCCCACCATTCACTTCATTTTTTCTCACAGTGCTAGGTGACATTGTGGTTCATAAAAATAGTCATTTTACGACCTTTTCTTAGTTTCGTAATTCGACAAATGTAAATTAACGGGGAATACATGTCGTTCTCCGCCAACGTACTTCCACGAAAGGACACAAGACACGTCTCTTGCGCTACGGACAATGAAATGAAAATCGAGATGTCGCAGCTCCTCTAGTAGACTTCTCACTTCATTCGGCCCTAAATCGCGCGCGTGTTATTTTTAAAGGTTTGTCAGAACGGAATTCTAATAAAACAACGCGGCCAGCCCCGAGCGCGAGAACGAGTAGCCTGACTTTCCGCGTCCGAGATAGCGCGCCCGACCGCGACGTTCTTTCTTCACTGCCGCAGCTTCGCGCTGCTTTTCTAATCACTCCGCTCCGTATTAGCGCTCGCGAGGAATTTTAACGGCGATAATCGCCGCCGTTAATTAAACAGAAATTAACGAAGCAACGAAGCATAAAACTATGTTCCTGACTCTTCGGAGTAAATTACATTTATTTTTCTGTATTAAAAAATTAACGTTGATCGAAAAAAGAATTAGTCGCTCACAGAGCAAGCGTCTTTCGACGCGCTAATTTTGACACGCTTTTACGATTATTTACAACTCCCGGCACTCGCAAGCCACGCGGCAGACCCTGTCATCGACGAACATTCGTCGACGAATTTGCGAAAATTTGAGAATCCCTGGACGCAGGTTTTTACCTGAGGGATACGCATGCGCCGCGACCGACAGATGTTTCCTCCTCGCCAACTGTTGCTCTCCTCGCTCTGCAGCGAGAGAGGCGAGAGAGGCGAGAGAGGCGAGGCTGCATCTGATTTACCGAAGAAAGAAAGGAAGGAAGAAGAGAGGGCAGAGAGGCGCGGAGAAGAAGAAGACAGGCGGAAAACTTCATTTCTCCCTTACTCCTCGCCCTCAGCCCTCTCGCTCTGACGCAGCTCGTGCTCGGGGGCCCTTTCGACCGGGGGGGGAGTCCCTTCTAAGGGACCTTCAGTACAGCCACATGGGGGTGGTATACCCTCTTGTGCGCTCACGTGAATGCAGCCCTTATATGTCGCGTTAAACTTCGATCCAACTCGCGATACCGACGCGATACCAGAGCGCGACCGAAATGCTTGCGCTTAAAATTGAAACTTGTATCTCCGTCATTGCGATCGTTGTCTTTGAAGCGAATCCTTGTTGTGCACTCGACGAGCGAGCGAGCGGCAAAAAGGCCTCGATGAGGAGGATAAGAGCGTAACGATCGTAAAATGTACGGGCAATCTAACGTTACGATCTTACCGGTTATTAACGCGTCGAAGCGTGAATATGTTGCTCGTTAACAACAAAGTACTCTCGCTCGAGTATCCCTCCTGCAGGTTCCCGCTTAAAATTCGACTTTGTGTTAACGAGGTGCGTCCACCTGTCGCGTTCGTACGCTATCGTACCTATCATTTATTTTCTTGTCTATTTGTACACAATACATTCTATTCGTTTTGCTTTCTTCTTTTTTGAATAAAGGTTGACGCGGGTTCCCCAAGTGTCCCCCCATGAGCTTCTCCTGGTGCTTCGACACCATAGTCTCCTTTCCTGCCTCTACCGCTGTGTCATAATTCCCGAAGTAGCTCGTATATGATATCGCACAGCGCGATATAATGAAAAAAGAAAAATCCGATCTCATCGGATATCTTCTCGGCCGCGATTCAACGCAAAACGCAAAACGCAAGACGCAAAACGCGAAACGTCTCAACACCCGGCCGGCTGATCGCAGCTCGACGTGACCTTCGACTTCTTCGCAGGAAACCGCGCGCGGCAAAAGTCCGAAGGAGTCGCGCGGCCACCACCTGCTCGATCGCGCCTCGTTGATTCGGCGGCGGTGGCGCGGCAATTCACCGTACGTACGCTCCGCTCCGCTCCGCTCCGCTCCGCACGAGATTTATCGCGCACGAGGTATCGAGCGCGTTTAGGACCCAGCGGTCCTCCTTATTACAGCTTATTAAGCGGCTGTAAACCGCGCGCACTGCGTCCATGATCCGGGAACCGGTCACGACGCACGCGGGCTTATATGACCAGCGCGCCTCTCGGCATCACCTGCCGGTCGCGCCATCCTTTTCCTATACCTTCGCCTCTTACTCTCGCGGATGCGGGCCAAAGGGGAGAAAGGTACCTACCCGCAATACGACGGACACCTTCACCATCCATCCATCCATCTCCATCTTCCCTCGTGGGCACGACCGCGTAATAGTTCCACCCTTCGTTACGTTCGTTTTTCGCGATTGGCTGCTTATCGACTTTACGCAAATTACTCGTCGCGCGCGCGGATTCGACATGATAATCTGTCGGACGTGAATGTGGACAACGCGAACATCCCTGTGTACGCGCGCGCGACGCTTTTACGTTTTACGTTTACGCGGTGAACGACAAAACTTTCATTTTGCCATTTCCGAACATCGGATACCCGTCCGCGATCAAGTCAGCCGGTTTTCACCTCCGTTTCCACTTTTGATGTTGAATCGATGAAATCGAGAATTTCGTGGGAAATTTTTTTCTTTTTTTTTCTTATATTTATTTATTTTTTTATAAATTTGCCGTCAATTTTCTTCCAGAGAACCGGACGATTTCATCGGATTTTGATCGG